AATGGTCTTTGTGCTCCAATCAGCAGCAGAAAAGAGGAGCAAAGCCCAGTCTACGTTTTCACTTTTGACTCAAAAATGCACTCTATTAAAGTTCAAGTGTCTGCCTGACCCCATTGTAAACTTTTAGTAGCTTTGTTCCACACCTACATACAAATACCTCACACACATGGACAAGCATGGGGAACCCTAAATTATCCAAATCAGAATTTTCAAGACCTGAAAACCTCCCATACTGCCAGGGGCTTCCAAAGGTCTGCTGCACAATAGGAATTCCCCTGCTGGATTAACAAGACAGTTCTTTTTGCTGTGGGCAGAGTGGAGGCGAGACCACCCTTGTTTTCAATTCATGCTGAGCCATCATGCCTGACTCACATTCACACTTCCACCATTCACTCAAGGCTATATGATGATGAGTGTAGAAAAAAAAATGACATCATCTGTTGACTTTTAACTGACCTGTTTGAGGTGAGGCCAAGTCTGCACACACATTCAGACTAATAGACACAGGTTCAAGGCCAAGAACTAAATAAGCACAATACATTGTATTTGCTCTGAAAGGAGGTGAAAAGATTTGCTCAAGTGCAAATTTTCTTTTGAATTCATGCATAACAACAATAATAAAATATTGAGAAAAGGAAGTGCATTCTTGGCCTTAGAAACAAGACCTTGGAAAAACTCGATTCAAGGTTCACTTATTAGCTTTTTCTGGAGCACAGTTAGGTCATGTGAGGACAAATCCATCCACTGATGAAGACAGTAAAAAGCCACTTTAAATTAGCTTTAAATTAAGTAATTATTTTTCATTGTCAAAAAACAAAAACACATTCCCATTGACTTTCACTCAACAGTTACTATAAGACACCAGAAGCCTCTGCGAGGAAATAACAGGTTTTATGTATTTAGTCAGGAAATACAAATGCCATCATAATCCCACATTTACCCTTCTTTCCTAAAACCACAGGGCAGACAAACACCTGTCCGACCGTATTAAATAAATGTTGTATCAGTATTTGTTTTGGAAACACTTATGTTCACCACCTATTTGAATTGTTTGCAGAAATATGAACAGTAATGAAATAATACACTATCTCTGAGAGTAACTTAAGCACATTTCCTTTTTTCTTTTTTTCTCCAAGAACAGTGGTACAAAACAGCAAAATTATTACAATAATAAAATGTAAAAAGAAAATTGCCAGCATATTAACATAGATATTATACATAAATATTATATTACATGATAAATTACAGTATCCATATTACAAATGTTATATAAGTATGGGTCATAGTGGTCTTGGATAATCCATCACTTTAAGTCGTAAAAAGAAAAAAAACAGCAGAAGGAAGTCAAATGGGATTTGAAGCTGCAAATGTGCAGATGCCAACCACCAGCAAACACATCCATCCCAGCACATACATGTTCCATTTTGAACACTTTGCAATATATAAATAATTTCTCCATTTTAGCAAAAAAAAAAGTTAGTCTTTCCATCTCATGAATCGCTTTAATAATATTTCTAGCCAGTTGTCCGCTGTTGGTCGAACCATTTACAAGTGATTGCTTTCTTTTGCTCACTCAACTCACACAAAATCCCTCACAGTCCAAGCAGTAAATTACCATTCCTCTCACAAACACACATACTTTGAAACCATGAGTACATTCAACAAACTCCCCGCTGACCGGTGCTCTATTGTTGCTCTTACCAGCTTATCCCGCAGTATTTTGACTGTAAATTAATCCTAACTGACAAGTGCATTGACTTTGATTCTGTAAGCTGAAACTTCATGCTATGTCAGTCTACCAAATCACAAATGCAGCTCCAAGGACTTTATGGATAATTCAAAATGCACCTTTGAGACCTCTTACGAAGAAACCAAAGCAAACTCACATTATTGGCTTCACTGGCGAAAAAAATTAAAATCCCAAATGGATCTTAAGAAGCCTGCTGGTGCTTTTGGTCAGGTCCCTTGAATATTGCTGAAGTGTTGAGCCCCATAAAGCTGCGGGGCTGCATTCAGACTTCAGATTAAAGGTCTCAACATTTATCAAATAGAGGTCGAGTGTTTGCTGTGGTCGCTCCCAGGATTTGAAATAGCCCGAGTGAGAGATGTGCAAACTCAGCTGATTCTTGTCAGTAGCATCTCAAAGCTCCACCTTGGTATGCCAACATTTTAGTGATTCTTCCACCTCTCTTGTCTCCTCTTCTTTCATCTTGGTTCTGAATTACAATATTCACCCGTCTTGTCGGTATTTCTCCTTTGCATAAACTGTGTCTTTTCTGATCTTGTCAGGTTTCTGATGTTGTAGGTGTTTCTTTCATTTGGAAGCGATTTGTATCATTATTATTATTAGACCTACACATAAAGCACAAAGGTGCATGGTATGGCTTGTTGCACATATTGAGTAGAGAAAGTCTTGTATTATTGCATTACATTGTTTTGGCAAGTTTTACAGTAGACACTTTATAATGTTATTATTGGAAAATAAAGTCCAGAGAGAAGGACATAAACCTAGACTGTACACTAATAAAACTTCCCATTACAAACACTTTTTCTTGAGTCACGACAATGAGAAAAATCAGCACAACACACAAATCACTGTAAGTTCTAGTTGACCCACAACACTGTAGGTTCCTACCTTACAGGTATGCGTTCACCTATAGGCTATCATTGCATCGCATAGCACTGATGTGCAATATAACACAGGGTAAAGAGACTTCTATCTAACAAAGAGACCACAACAAAGTGTGCTTGATAAGTTTTGAGACTTTTCACTCTTGGCTCAAAGGGGAGGGCTACAAGACATGATGTCTGATTTATGATAATCCGTAATCAAACATGAGGCCACAAACAATATTCAGTGAGCACATTTGAATTTTGAATATTTCATACGTGTTCAAAGGTTTGGATGTTCTTCCCTTGTTTGTGCGCCTCCTCCACAACCTCCACTCCCTCCCACAGTCCAGAAACATACCTACTCTCTGGGTGTAACTGCCCGTCTTCTCTGGGTTTGCCTGCGATGAGTGAGCTGTGACCCTGACTATAATAAACATGGCATGGAAGAATACATAAAAGGCTGAGTTGAAAAAAGCTGAACCCTGATCATTTTTCATGGCTAGAAACGGTTTCCTTACTGTAACAATCGCTGACAGCCAGGTATGTTGTAATCAATCAAACACATTCACAAGGAATCAAAGAAGCTTAAGAAACGTAAGGGACACCTGAGATACAACTGGCATGCTGCCATGTAATTTCCCCTGTATGCTTTGTGTGATCTTTGGTCCAAGTCATATGTCATATGTCATATTTGAAACAATGTTCAAGCAAGATCAGATAAGACTGTATGAAGTAGTACTGATGCCATTGCTGGCAGCCAATAGTATTTTCTAATGGAGGAAGTCGTCAATTTTATTTGTATAGCGCCAATTCACAACAGAAGTTATCTCAATGCACTTTCCTAATACAGCAGCTCTAGAACTTCTCTTTATAATATTATTTACAGAGAACCAACAATTCCCACCAAGAGCAAGCACTAGGCGACGATAGCAAGGAAAAAAACTTCCTCTTAAGAGACAGAAACCTCGAGCAGAACCGGCCTCAGGGTGGGCGGCCACCTGCCTCGACCAAGAACAAGAACATGCAATGATAGCAATATTAATAGAAGTGATAGTAGCGGCAGTAACAGCAATAGTAATGTCATGGCAACTGTAATACTCCTACTGATAAAAGTAATGATGAAAGCTAATAACTTTAATAATAATCATTAAGTCTAATTATTAAGTAATGTAAGTCTTATCTGTGTATTTCACTGAGCAGAATCCAACATAACTTGGTCAGCTGTGTCCCAACAGTGTCATCAGGAGGACCCTGCCCCAGATAGAAAATCCCATCAGAAGGTGTTTGTGTCCACCTCTGTGCGAACCCCACTCAGCCTCCCCTCTGCCACAGCACCAGATGACATCACAGGACCACCACCTGCCATATTGCCTAACTTTGCTCTGTTTATCTTTGGGCGTGACTTGGTGCAGAACAGCGATCAAGTGGTAGATCTGGTCTGTGGCTCTTTTACTACTTCTTCCACTCAACCTCATCATCGTCCTTCTTGTCTGAGCTGCAGCTTGAAAAGAAACGACTGCTCGTTTGATGACAAGATAAAGAAAAGGTTAAATACGAAACACTTAATGTTTTTTAATCATATTCGGGAGTGTGTTGTGTTAACTTCGTTTGACATTCCTCTCATACCTCCACCCGGTCACGGTGCTCCCACGGGGGTGCGCGGTTGTTTAGGCAGGGAACTTCACTTTTCTGTTGCCAGAGAGAAAGCAATGGCTGTTTAAGTGCAGTACAGACAACCACTGTTCGTTTATGGATAATAATATCCATAGTCTTTTGTCCTAAGACACCATTTCTTCTGTTCTCCCTCTGAATTTTTTTGTCTTATCATTCAAAGCTCTTGTGCATTTATTTTAAAACTTTAAAACTATGAATTTATAGAAGGAAACAAACCAATTCTGAGCCTCAGAAATGCATGCATTATGTCTCCGAGACTGTAGTCTTATGGTAATAAACACAGTTTCCAACAGAAGCCCATGCATGCGACCATCCTCTCAGTGACAACTTCTTCTTTAGTTATAAAGAGTCAAACCCCCTCCTCAGTTTGTCTCTGGAGGTCCCCGCTCTCGGAAAGAGCAACCGATCTGGAAGTCTGGATGCTGCATACCAGGGAGGAGGAGGTGCGGCAAAGCAGATGAGGAAGAAGAGGAGAGCGCTGTTGTTCCGTCAAAACCGTGGGCTGTCCGGCCCCAGTCGCTCAGTGTATTGTTGAGAACGGGAGCGTCGGGGCTGCATTCCGCTGAAGTTGCTGCCCCATCACTAAGAAACTTGTCAGAAAACTTTTTTTTTTTTTTTTTTTTTTTTTTTTTTTTTTTTTTTTTTTTTTTTTTTTTTTTTTTTTTTTTTTTTTTTTTTTTTTTTTTTTTTTTTTTTAGATTGGGGGTAGATTGTTTGATTTTATGCGCGAAGGAAAACGAAGGACAAGAAGGTGAAACCGCGAGTGTCCGAGCGAGCGAATGGAGAAGCACAAAGGTAAGAGGAGGATTTTTGAACTTTGTGTCAATAACATGAGACACGGCTGCTCCAGTGTCACTGCTGACAATGCATCCGTATGAAGTCGGACTGCTTTACTACTATTACTTTTCAATAGTAATAGAAACTACATTTCCGTACATCCAGTTAACATGACATCTGTTGCCTTTTTGAATGGGGATGCATTCGAGTTATTTGCATGTTGCCAGAAGCCAAAATCTGATGTTTTGGGAAAGCCTACCACCACAGAAATAAAAGGCATCTACATGTTCTGGTGTAGATTCTTCTGTTAGGACACATTGTTTCACATGTTGTCTTAAGATTCTGTTCACCTGCATCTAATAATCATTATTAAAAATGCCCCCAGGGGTGGGTTGGGTAGAACACTGAAATAGACAGCCTTATCAAACTAGTAAGCTGCCTGTGGGCAGTGAGTTCTCAGATTGTTCAGAGTGAAACTACTTGAGTGAGTTGAATGCACCATGTTTCATTAAGGATATGAGGGTGTGTGACTTTAACTGCCTCTCCTCTATAAAAGTAGTTTACACTGATGATTTCTAATAGCAGCAACAATGTTCTCAGAGCATTCCTCAAATTCCTGTGGTTATTTGTCCATGAGGGATGAGCAAGGACGTTTAATACTTCCTGATTGGCATAAACAAAGAGTTTGAGCCCAAATGTTGAAATTAGCCAGCAGATTGATTGGCCATGACTTACACCTCACCTTACTGCCTGAATGAGGTTAGTTATCTTTGGACCTCAGTACTGACAGGAGAAACACGACTGCGGATCGTAACATCTCAGCTCTCCACTCTGTGAACCCCCTCAGCTTCACTGACTCTAGGTGAGGCAACTGGGTGAAGCGGCTTCCTGAACTGAAAACAATGGTGACAGTCAAACTGCACTGGAATCACCACAATTTGAAAGACAGCAATCTTGCTGCAACATTCCTGTTCTCCAGCTGACTAGACAGCCCAGTCTGTTTACTCCCACACTCTTTTGGAGTAAACAGTCACTGTTGCAAGCAGCCAAATGCAGAGATTAATTAATGGGACAAACACTTGGATAATTTATTAATAGTTTGAGTTGGTTTTTGAGCACAAATATCAAGCATTACTTGGTTATATGTCATTATAAGTTTAATATCTTTGCATCTGTTGTGTTGGTTGAACAAAACCAGTGATTTGAGAAATATTGATTGGAATTTTTCCATTATTTTATGATATAAATAATCACCAGATTAATCGATATTGAACATAATTATCAGTCACAGCTCTAACCATGTGCAATATCTCAGTACACATGGATTTGATTTTGACAAAATGTAGAGGAGAGAGGTATCTCACTTATGTTTCAGCATTTACGAGCTGACACGAGCTGATTGTCCACAAGGGGAGCTATACTGTTCAGCTGAAAGTGTCTCAGACACATCTGACTCGCACAGCTGAAACTGAGGGGGTGGGACTCATTATAAAGTATGATTCAGTATTTTAAGTAGTAAGTGGTTTGCAAAAGTGAGCAATGAAGCATGAATTAGTTTCCTGTCAACTGATCAGGCTTTGACACCTAAGGGAACAGTTTAAGAGAGAAATATTTTCAGGGCGGATAGGGGGAAGACGAGAGCAATGAGGAGGTCTCTAGAGAAGGGGAGAGCTGGGAGCAGATAGTGAGATGCAGGGCAAGAAACCTGCAACTGTTAGTTGCAGAGTGTACTCTGTGTACTCTTTTGGCATCTGTATGCAGCAGCACCAGGACACTGAATTAGATACTAACAGCCACAGGCAGTCAGTGGAGGGGGTACAGTAAAGGGAAACCTGGGAAAAATTCAGGGAGGCCAATAACAAGGAAAGGCATTGTTTAGTATTCTGGATATGCTTCGTGTTTTTCAAACCTGACTCATGCAGGTTTCATTCCAGAGAAGCACATCAGGGTCTCATGTCACTGATTCTCACACCTTCTGCCAGAGGATGAGGATCAAATTAGTGAAACCACCTGGAGCTGTGTTTAGTTTGAATGACCTTTGGGCCGTTGATGGGACATGTTTGAGAATCATTGTTGCACAGCAGAGGACATAACTCAGCAGCTCAACCAAGTGATGACTGAAGCACTTTGGATGCAATTATTGACCCATTGGTCACTTTGTCAAGCTTCCAATCGCAATTAGCATGCTAATGTTTCAGACTACTAAATGTAAAATAATCATGTGTTGATTTCTTTCTTTACATTGTTGTATTTTGAATGTATCTTGTATTACATGCATGTATATTTTTCAGAATAATAGCATATAAAAGAAACATCACCTAGTATTGTATATTATATACAATAAGCATATGTTTGTCTATCTTTTTGCAGCATTATCTTCCTTTCCTCATCAATCAGTGCCTCTAGCTACATGGTCTCTCTTATTTTGTTTTCCATGTTATTATGGATCCCACCGGTTTCTGGGTGAAGCGTGTCCATGTTGAATTCACTGCGCTGGCTTCACGCTCTTTGCAGCTGGGTTTCAAGAAATGAGATCTATGATGATGGCTCCCTTTCTTGCCTCCAGTATCAGCCGTCTTCTCCAACAATGATCTGATTCTATGATCGCTGCCAAAGTAAAATGTGAGACAAATGGAGGCAGACTGACAGGCGCAGTGATGGACATTTTTGAATCAGTGGAGTATTCAGCTGAGAGACAAACAACTACAGTTTAAAAACTGATTGACTCTATGGAATGGCAGAAGATACTGTCATTTTTTTTTCATCCCCTGAAAAATGTTAATGTGTGTATTTCTATTAATCGGTGTATCCCAGTACCAGCTGAAAATTTGAGTTTCAGAGGCACTTTTCAGTGTAGCATGACAATGTGACAGTAAAGTGGGTTTAGTCAGTTTCACCTCCCATAAGCTCAGCAGAGGCAGGCTTAGATGTAGGCCATCAGGGCTGGCATGGGGTCTACCGGTTCACTTGTATGTGTGTCATGGGCTGTACTTGCCAAGAGGGAGCGAGCGGAGTGCGGGAAATTCAGGAAGCTGGACTGGGCTATAAAAATGATGAAAAGAAAGACGGTCTTCCTGCTCTGTGGCAGTGGGGTGCTCAGTGTGAGTTTGGCCCTTTTCGCCCTCTGGGTCTTGCTCTTGTTCATTTTCAACACATCAAACGTTACTTTGTTTATTGGATACAGAAGCTCTGGATCAGACCTGTATTGTGTTTTTTTTTTTCCCACCAGGTATCCTTATGAGGGAATAGGTACTTGTAATCGCACACATATGCACACTCTAGTTCTTACTCTCCCTGCAGCCACTTATCAGTGGGATAATAACTAAGCAGAGAAGCTTTTATGTGGGTGACTCCCAGGCGGCATCGCTAGTTAGTTTTCATTTGTCAGCAGCTGCTTCTAGTCTGTTGCTTTCTTTCTCATCAAGCCAACACTGTGGAGCCTTGTAAAGCTTCACTTTTACTGAGACATGAATCTGTTCATCACTATAGTGTACCGTGTATCTTTATTGAAAAATACGGATGGTAAATGCCCACACAGAGTGATGTATACTTGCGTATACACCTCACACACCTCAGAATATCAAGAGGATGATGCCTCTGACTGTGAGTGGGGTCCTGTGGAGTCAAGAAATGCTTTTGGGGAAGCAAGGAAAGGACGATTGAAGGAGGGATGAAGGCAGGGTGCTGCATTAGGAAGAGGAGGTGGAATCACACTGAGCCTCCTCTGCCTCATGGCCCCAGGCTGACAGAATTTTAATCTGTGTGTGTGTTTGTGAGAAAAACCAATGGCAGGGAGAGAGTTACAGAGTTGTGTGTTTTGGAACGACTTGTCTAGAGTCACAATGTTGCTATCATTTCCTGGCAAAGCAGATATCCTAGCATAATTGGTAGCTAACTAAGTTTTCTTCATGTAGTACTGCTCTGCACAGTTCATGTTGTTTGGATATAGACTTGTTTTGGTTCTCAAAATATCTTTAATCCAGTATTAGCTGATTTCTTGGCCACTTGGGGGCAGCACAAAAAAACTGTAAACACAACACTGACATATCATTCTCCTAATTAAGTTTATATGTGTTAGCAACGTTTACACATCCAACAGACAACATTAGCATTCATTTGGAGTCATGTTTCCGCCCGCCTGGCAACTGAAAATCCAATAGTCAGTCTCCATTTAGCTGTGTTTTGGTTTCCACCCAATTCCTGACTCTTTAGTTGCTAACTGCACAGCTATTTTCATTAGCTATTTGCTAACTTCGTCTGTCTGCTGTATGGTGCTGAGCAAGTAGCGTACAGCGGGTTTGTCCAAGCTTTTTTGCTCTAAACAACAGCCCGCCATTGAAAACTGTGAGACTCAAGCAAAACAATAAAGTTGCTGGCTGTAAACCCAAAACAATAAAAGCCTTAAACCCTACATAGAGCTGAGGGAAACTGCCTAGTTTGGCAATCATTTTTGTGGCTTTATCACTAAATGTGACACTCTTTATTTTTGCAAATAGTCATTTGATTGATTGTAAGAATAAAAATGCTGACAAGAGGAACTTTTAAAGTGATATTTTGAACTTTTGCTTTCAATTTGTGTCACCATTTTACATATTGAAGGAAAGTCGTTGACTGTTGTCCCACAGCTGCTTTCTGTCTTATTTAATGTTTTTCTCATCACAGTAAACATTAAAATGCATTTAAAATGGTCATTCAAATTGAGCAAGCAGTTGGCCTCAGTATCTGAAAACATGTTGATAAAATGTTAATGGCTAAAGTATAAAATATCAGTGCACCACATTTAGACATTGAGCTCATACATGTAAATGACCTATATCGTTTTGTTTCTGTGGACAAACAGTCCTGCATTACCCTCCAAACTTCATTTTCATTCTGCACTTTTCTCACTTCCCTCATCTCTGACTTTGCTGCATACACACTCTCTCTTACACACATACAAACTCCATGTCATCATGCCTCTAAGCCAGTGTTAAACCTTCAGCTTTTTTTTTTTCCTGCGGGGAGTACAGTAACATGCA